GGTATCAGAAAAAAAAAAAACCCTACTTTTAAAACTTCTTCAGCAGGACCTCAAAAGATGCCAAGACAAAAACACCACTTAAAATCTCCAGGAGTCAAGAAATTAGGTGTCAAAAGACCTGGGTCCGAGTGTAGGCCTCCCCATTCATTAACAATGTGACCTCCAGCCAAATCTGATCTCACTGGACTTCAGTCTCCTTATCTGTAAAATCAAATAGTTGGATAAAACGTTCTCTTCCAACTCTACTTGAGTAACTGTATGATTTTAGAGGCAATCTCCAAATTATGCATACTGGGACAAAGCTAATCATACCCCAATTTACAAGGTGCTACAGAGGTCAAAAAGTATTTTCTCCCATGGGACCCAACATCTAAGAAGGTACACTATGGTCAAGTGCACCAAAGGGAATACTTACACTCCACTAAAACACAAGGTCTCTGCCATAATGGGAAGCATTACAGTTAAAATTCATGCCATACTCCTCTGGAAATGTGGAAAAGTGATATAAAGAGAGAGCACAGACACGCCATTCATGCAAGCTTCTCAGTATGCTTTATTAGACATTTTGATTGAGCAGAAACAAATATGAATCCATTTACAAAAGCAATATGTACTGCTGAGTTTCTTAATGAAAAGTCACCCAAAAGCAGAGACTAACATTAATATAACCCCTTTCTATAACTGAGTCTCAATGATAGATAAAGCTTATGATCAATCAATAAACAAAATCCAGCAGTGTCTGTTGATGCTGTAAGGAAATGAAGTCAGTCCTACCAGTCAACAAGTACAAAAAGACTGAAGGAAAAAAGCAGCAAACTATATTCAATCTTTTTAGAAAATGAAAGGAAAATAAGAACAACAACAAAATTCAAACTACATTAGCAGAATTTTTAACAGAGTCCTTTAAATAATTAGCAATGATCAGGTAGTTTTCAGAATATGTACAGTGGGTGTATTTTTTTTTCTAATAAAGCATTTCAAATTCTAATTAAAAAAATACTTTATGGAGAAATTAAAAAGATACAATAGTGTCAGAGGAAAAGCCATGATCCCAGAAGTGGAATATTCTAACAACATAACTTACAAGAAACTACGCTATAAAAACAGATTGTTGATTAACACAAACTCATAACAAAACGCAGAGCTATCACAATGGTGCTGTAATAACACTTGGCTGCTGAATTCTCTCAATACATTAAATATCTCCTTGGAGACCAAATTACTTTACATTTTCTTAAAAGACAATTTATTATAGCTTTGTTTTCTTCTCATTATCTCTTAAAAATATATCTAATGAAGAAAAGAATACAACTTCTAAATAACTTACATAAAATGGTACTAATGTCTGACAACAGACTTTGGTTTAATATGTTGGTTATTATTTAACAGCACACAACAACCTATTGTCATGACAAATCCTCACCACAATGCGATATTCCATGTGTCACATGTATCAAAAACCACTGTATGCCATTATTATGGTACACATAAAATTAACAGCCTAAGGCTGTAAGCAATTTAAATAATTGATAAGTTTTCAATTAAAAAGGCAACATTTTCAGGTCTAATACAAAAATCTATTTAAATTACTGATAAAAACTTAAGCTTCTGTTGGCCCACAGCCAGAAAAAATGCTTGCATCCAAGGGGAAAAAAACTAATTCTGTAAGTTTCAGCTCAGATCACTGCAAATTATTTTTTTTAATATTATGCAGAGATCCAGGATATTTATTTAATCTTTGTAACCAATGGGAAAAAAAGACAAAGTTGTTATGGGGAAAGTGTGTCTATTTTTGTTTCCCCATATAAATTTAGAGACATACTAAGGTAACCACAAATTTATTGAATTCCACATGAAAAAAGCAGCTGTTTCTTTTCAGTAAACATGTGGTTATCTGTAATATATCCCCTATACCATTACCCAAATTCTAGAACCAAAATTTTTCAGTGCCAAATTGAACCTGAAAAATAAAGACCAATGCAGGTTTTTAATAATAGCTCAACAACTGAGGACTATCAAACAATATCTATTGTGAGATTAAGTTCAAATGGTTCTCTTTATGGCAAAATCAGAACCCAAAGGAATTTTCAACCATAAGAACCAAAACAAATCAAAATGATAGCCAATCTTGTTTGTGTTTTTTGAAAAGAAATTACCCTGTTTTTTACTTTTTAAATGTGTGTAAACAAATAACATGTAATGGTAGAGGCGACTGCCACAGATAAGAGGAAAAGGAAATCCACTGAGGTTTTAACAACTTAAAACTTATCTTTCTCAGGAATATTTTCATTTTCATTTTCAAATACCTTGCTCAAACACTCAGAATGAGAAGAGTGGAGATCTACTTTAAGTTAAAATTCTTTGGGGGCCTCAGTTTCCCATCCTTTAATAATTGTTAATGTGAATTAATGAACACAATACAGGAACCACTGCCAATTTAAAAAAAAAAAAAGTTTTCACCATCCATAGCAAATTAATAAAAACAAGAGTAATGTAGTACATTTTACATAAAAATAAATTTACTCACTTTAATAGCCATCCTTCCTTTTGGAATATGACTGCCCACTGTTTTAATCTTTAAATGACCCCCAGTATTTTTCTTTAATAAAATAGAAGTTTCCCTGCTATCTGAAAGTAGAACATTCTTATTTGGTATGGGTTGGTAGGTTATTTATTGGTCTGGGAATATTTAAAGATTTTTCCATGTAAATTAATGGTAACAGTGTTCCTAGACCCCCCCCCCCAAAAATAACCTAACAAGTCATAACAAGCAGAAATCTTCTTCCTATGAGTACCAGGAGAAATCTATAATGGTTAACAGTAATCATTTTTATTAGTTTCTTTACTTTATTAATGTTTTTACATTTGACACAATTAAAATTTACCATGACTATGTCATTCCCTCAATCTAAATAGGAAAATTGATGAATTCATGAAAGTTAAATATTTGGGGATGATGTCTTTCTACACTGAAAAATGGTTCTCAAGAAGTCTAAGAAACTTTTAAGAACAAGTATAATTCCCTATAATACACACACAGATATTTCATTTGAGAAAATGATCATTAGTCATAAGGAATATGTTATATAGAGAAAAATCATTAAAATTTAATAGTGGTGAAGACCCAGTACTAATATACTAATGTGCAAAGAGGTGGGTAGGAGAAAAATGATGTAAAACAGCAAAGGAGCATGGGCTTTGGCATAAAGAGAAGCTGAACTTAAATTCCACATTCACATTCATTCTAGCTTGTAGTACTTGTGTATGTCTCTTAAACATAGCTTCCTCATCCAAAAAAAAAAAAGGGATGACAACGTCCACCTCACCAAGTAATTACTGAAATCAAAGAAAATTAACTACCTTAGGCATCTGATAGCGGACACTTAGAAACAGCAATCATTATTATTATCACTATGCTCATATGTAGTAACATTTCTCAAAAAGCACAATTTGTGAGATCTTCCCAAAAGCACAATATTAAAACACATCTCTAAATGTGGTTACATCAGAGACATAATGAAATTGTACCAATGTCAGTTCCCTGCAATGGACATAGTTGAAAAAACTAGAACCCATCTGTGTATGTGTTTTCTAAAAATAAGCATGTCACATTCTCTGGAGAGTTAGCCAATCTATCAATACCAGTGCTAGGCCTTTCAGCAGACAACACTACTCTGCCTTTCAAGGTACTGATGAGCCCTGCTCTAAATTCTCACTGCACAAAGACTCAAATAAGTTAATGGGAAGTCAATGGGAAATTGACTTTTCCTACTCTGCGCTGGTCTGAATGCAACGCTCTGTTAATCATGCCATCCTTTTTGTTCTCTTTCCTTCTACCCTAAATTAAAGTATTGGCGGACACCCATACAGATATTTTACAGTTTTCATTACAATGAAACAATACCCTGGTTGAAGATGAAGTCTATCAAAAACCTACTGCCTAACTGTTAGCTAAGATTAGTCTCAAAAAAAAAGCAAAGGCACTGATTCCATCATTTCTCCATATCACTTTGCATTTGTATAGAACGTCCAACTTTTCAAAGGGCTTTCACATCTATTATCCCATTTGATCATTACAATGACCCTGTGCAGTAGAAAGGACAAGTATTATTATCCTCGATTGACAGATGAGGCAACTATAGCACAGAAAGGTTAAGTGATTTGCCTAAGGGCACGAAGCAGAAGGAGAGTAGTGGTCTCCCCACTTCTAGTCCAAAGCTCCTTCCACAAGACCACTAGGGAAGGATTTGTAAACAAATTGCAAACTCAAAAAAAATAAATAAATAAAAAGAGAAGAAGTACAAATCAAGACTCCGGGAAACAATGTCTCTTCATTGTAGTTGAATTTTTCGAGCTTAGTACTATTAAGTTTTAAAAATATACCCTTTTCTCTTGTTTATCTACTTCAGTCCTGAGACAAACATTAATGCAAATGTTCACTGAATTTGAAACACAAAAGAAAAATCATTTCAGGATATATTCAAATGATTTTGATTCAGTAAGTAACCCTGTAGTTCATTTTGGGGAGGGGGAGAGAGATGGTTAGTGCATAAAATAACTGAGAGTACATCTTTAAATCGTGTATCCATATTAAGCCTGCAGCTACATTATAACTATAATCTGTCTGGAAGGGTGAAAGAGATCTCCAGTTGAAAGTAGATTTTGAAAAATTTTTTAGAGCCCAGGGGTTCATTTTTAATGAGCCGTTACTTTAAGTACTGCATAAAAAATACAGGAAATTGATAGTCCATTTAGTCTGCACCATACCTAATGCAAAAGTCATTAAGATGCATTATTCTTAATGTTCATGATATGATCAGTAACTGTCTTTTAAAAAGAATGGCCTTAACTTTCACGTGAGGAAATCTTTGAAAACCTTATATTATATAGAAAAATGTGATAGCAACTATGACTTACTTACATATCTTCACTAGAACAAGGAACAGCAGCTTCTATTCCATTAACACTTAAAAAATAGTCCTCATTTATAAGGTACTTACATATGACAGCATTGCCTTCATTTCTTCATCACTTCTCACTGTAATTCTATCACCATCTTCATCTTCATCTGTTTAAAAAGTAACAAAAAGTGATAAGATTTGCATTTTTTAATTGCAAAAACCATGTCCGGAGGGAACACAAATCAACTGATTTTTAAACTTGATATCCAAATCCTTAACACCGTATTTTTGAGGATTTTGAGGTTACTGGTTTGTCTGCTGCTGTTGTTGTAAGAATCTCAACAAATTAGAACTGAAAATTTTAAGAACAGCTGAAAATTAAAATCCTATAGCTGTCATTTGTAGTGTATCTAGGTTAAACCAAGTATAGCTGGAGAATGACTGAACAGGCTTGGTTTGGAGAACTTTAAAAACCTAAGAGAGGTCAGTCTTTTTCTACTATCAGAACTTTTTTCCTGTTCTACTCGGTACCCTATGCTTCTATTTCTCCATTCTTCTTTCCCAAGCAATTTATCATGTCACAATAGCATGATAGAAATGGCTAGCATTTATTGAACACACCTACACACAAGGCACAGTGATTTGTGCTTCATTATCAGTACCTCCTTAAAAACTTCACAACAATCCTATGATGAGGACAGTGATGATTACTATCAGTCCCTTTTTACAGAAGAACCAAAAGCCAAGGGTAAGGTTAACATGCAAAGCAATTCTGGTACGCGTATCCCCATATCCCACTCTAACAGCTCTTTCTCTTTCTGAACAGTTTCATTTGTATTGGGTTCTACTCTCTGACTATAGTAAGCTTCAAATGACAATTCATGCTATTTGAAATAACATAAGTCTTGAAACTAGAGAATAAGAAGACTTTACAAAATACATATCCAAAATGGTTATTTGAATAAGTGTATTATAAAAGCAGTGTAAAACAATATACATATTTCAATGTTGCTTCTCTAATTCAAAATAGTTTTGAAATATGTCTTCAAAAACTGTTTTATGAATCTGAAGGCAGACCATGTGGAAACATCAAATCTCATTTTAACCCAAGGTAGAATTGCTCACATAATCACTCACCCACACTGTCAGGTAGGACTCCGAATGATTTTTGGCTATTCCTAAGAATTCACTTAGCTAATCCATCCTTCTCAAAGATAAAGATCTATCAACAGGAGAATAACCTATGTGGTGGATTTAAACAAGCAGTTGAAAGGACAATGCCAAAAACATTTTGAGAATGACAGACAACACAGCTGAAAGAAGTGCACAGCCTCCTAGGGCACAACAGACTGGGCAGGCTCTCTCTCCTTTAGCTGCCTCAGTTCTGGTGTAGAGATATCTGCACTCCCATGTTCATTGCATCATTATTTACAGCAGTCAAGATATAAAAACAGTCAGTGTTTATCAAAAGACGAAAAGCTTTGATGTGATATATGTGCACAATGAAATATTATTCAACCACAAAAAAGAAAGCCACTTGTGTGACAACTTTAATAAACTTGAGACATTACTCTAAGTGAAGTAAGATAAATATTATATGATATAACTTACATGTGAAATTTAAAAAGTAAAACTCAGAGAGAAATAGAGAATAATGGTTTCCATGATTAGGAGGTGGGTGAAATGAGGAGATATTTTTCAAAGAGTACAAACTTTCAGTTACAACATGAGCAAGTTTTGGGGTCTAGTGTGTATACTAGTGTACACACATCTGGTGTACAGAATGATGATTATAGTTAATAATACTGTATAATATACTGGGTAGTTGCTAAGAGAATAGGCCTTAAATGTTCTTATCACAAAAAAGAAAATGGTAATTATGTGATTGGCTAAAGATGTTAATGCTATGGGGGAGCTCTTTTTCCAAGATATTATTGTATCAAACAAAGACAATATAAACCTTTAACATCATTACATGTCAATTATATCTCAATAAAGCTGGGGAAAAACAAAAAGATAAGGACAATGAATTGACAGATATGAATAAAGGGCAAAAAAGTGGAAGTACATACAAAGTAATTTAGTATGAAAATAAAATATTTTTCTGAATAAAAAGCTGGTCATAGATATCGAGCAAAAAGACTCTGGCTTTTGCTTACTAAACTGGATCGGCAATAAAAAGTACTCTAATGGGAATTGTAAAAACTTGTTAAAAAGGGCACAAATAGTTTCAAAGGTATAAAATGTTGGTGAAGAATGCTAGAAAGTAGTGGTACTAAGTACAAAGAAGTAGGAAAAAATAATCTGAACTCTTTTTGTCTTATACATGGAGGTTCTTTGCCATCTGACCAAGAAAGCATTACTGGCTATGACCAAGAAGGGGGCGGGGGAGGTGCAGCAATAAATCTGATACACTGGTTCACGATGAGAATTCCAGGCTTCTCTAGTTGCCTGAAGCATAGTAATATGATTTTCCAGCACATTAGGGAAGCAAAAGTAGAACCAGAAAGTCTATGTACTGACTGGATTTTGTTAATGTCACTTAAAATGGAGGAAAAAATCCTAGCAAGATACCAAATAGAGTGCAGCAGATGGTAAACAAATATTATGAAGCAATCTTCACAAAATCTGCAGTGTGTCACAAATATACAAAATGGGAGAGTTTGGGAAAAGAGAATCATAACAGGCCATATGTTGTTAGCGATTTTATTTGAGGCAACATGCAATCCAAAAGAGAAACCAAGAGGAGGAACATAAAGGCCCAATAGAGGAGGAGAGGCAGCCTCAGGTAAGGGGCGGTCAGAATGGCAAGCACAGTGCCTACTGAGTAAACAGCAGACAAACAGCAGATGCCGGGGAGCTCTCAAACAGCACCCAGTGCAGGAGGGGCTCAAAAGGGCTGTTGAGAGAAACAATCTAGCTTCTACAAAGTGCGACAGAAAGTTAAGGCAATATATTACATGTCATTTGTCACATTCCTTCAGTGCCAGGTGAGAGTCAATTAGAACTACTCAAAGGCATTTTTCTGAAGCAAGAGGAAAGAAATGAAAACATAATTGTAGAGGTTAGAAAAACACTGAGAGGAAACTACCAGAAAAGTTGTCAAGTTTAGAGCCCTTCTCAGCTGTGTAATCTGATGATCTGAAGAGAACCAGAGGCCACATTTCTATGGCCAAGTCCTCATATCCAAGAGTTTTAGTTTCATGTCCTGATTCCTGTTTCATTTTTTTCTTTCTTTCTCTTACCAACAGAAAAGGAAGCATTGACTATATTGTAGGCAACGTTCTAAGAACTGGGTATCATAACAGTGGAAAGAGAAAAACCCTTGCCTTCATGAAGGTTACATTCTAGCTGAGAGAAACTGAAGGATGAGGGATGAAGAAGTCAAAGATATTTGAGCACAGTATTCCAGGTAGAGAGAAAAGCTAATGCTAAGGCCCCAAGGCAGAAGAATACCTGGCATTTCCTAGAGACTGAAAGAAAGTCAGAGTAGCTGGAACAGAATGAAAGGAGAAGAAAAACCTGAGTTCAGAGTAATAATGATGGTGCAGAGATGGGAGCAGACCAAAAAAAAAAAAAGCATGATCTTTCAGGGAATTTTAAGGACTTGATTTTTACCCCTGAGTGAGATGGTACCCATTGGAGAGTTTTGTGGCCTCACTTAATTTCTAAAAGGTTCATTGTGCTGTGCCCTCACTTTGGAGAAGAAAATATGTAGAGGCAAAAGCAGAAAAAGAGAGATGGGTTAGGCAACCACTCTCCTAGTCCAGGTGAGAGACAACAGTGACCTAACCCAAGCTGAGGTTCTCAGCAGTCACCGCATGCTGGCTATATTTTAAAGAAAGCATCAAAGGATTTGCTGACAGATGTGATAAAGGTTTATCCTTCTTTCTTTATTCCTTCAGCCATCCATGTATTCCAGATATATATAATCTGGTATCTTCACACTTGCCAGACATGTGTCTGTTATGTTCCAGGTACTATATGAGGGTTTCTAGGGATTCAAAAAATGAGCAGTATTATCTACTGCTCCCAAGGTACAACTTGCCTGGTGCTCTGGTAAATAATTTAAACCTAATTCTCATGCAAAATAACAAGACTATAGCAAACTGTTCCTAAAAGACTAAAAAGGATTTATAACTTTTGCATCAATGATTATTTTGAACCAAACATTTACCAAATTAAGCTCTCTTCAATCATCTCAAATTCTAGGATATACAATTAACTGTTACATACTAAATAAATTTTACACTCAGTATAGTTCTATTGTGAATTACAATTTTTAATTAACCTACCTAGTTTTATTATAAGTGACCATTTATTTTTTACATATAGTCTAGTTTTTTACCATATATTTTATGATTTAGACTTTTCTCCAAAGCAAAAAGGGGTTTCTACCCAACTATTCTTTTTTTTTTTTTTTAAAGATTTATTTATACAAGAACCGGGGTAGAGGCCAGATGTGCAGGAGGGTGAGAGGATTCACCAGAGACAGAGAGGGGAACAGAATAGGCAGAGGGACAGAAAGCACTGCTGAGGGCAGCAGTGGGCATGACAGGAGAGGTCTGCCGCGCCATGTGGGACCCTTGCCTGCCGGCCAGGATCCAACAGACACTGCAGAGGCTGTGGCCAGCCTCACAGCACTGCACTCAACTGCCTGCACCACCAGGGGTGGCCCCCAACTATTCTTAATGAGATTGTCTTTAATACTTGAACATAAGGGTATGTCCTACAGGTGTAACTCAAGTTATCAGCTGTATTTGTTTGCTATACTCTAAAAACTTACAACTTATGAAATTGTAATCTTGCTTTAAATGGTCATATTATGCCAAATATAAAATGAAATATGATGTACTGGTTTAAAATTTCCACCCAAAATATTCTTCTAGAAATTCATAAAACAGAAAATAATTCTATTCAATGAGAAGTGAGTACAAAATAGTCATGATTGGGACAGATATAAACTGTTTATCCTATAAACGTATTTTTTGAACCAAAACTCAGACATATGTGAAGTGACAAGTGTGAAGATACCTATGAGGGCTACAGACCAGAATATGGGAAGCCAGAATATCATGGAAAGGTAAAGCCACATCATGGTATTTATTCATGTAAATTAGCATCTGTCTATATAGACTTAACATGTATCTTTCAAGTCATCAGAAAG